CCTTAAAGCTTGGTAAGGACAGATGATGAGAGACAGAGAGAGAGAATGTATGTGTGTGTCTATGTGCATGCACATATACATACTTTATATACACACAAATACATATAGAAATGAGAAGATGTATATACTTTTTTTTTTTGCTTAGGCATTTGGGGTTAAGTGACTTGCCCAGGGTCACACAGCCTGTAAGCGTCAAGTGTTTGGTCTGAGGCCGGATTTGAACTCAGGTCCTCCTGACTTCAGGGCCAGTGCTCTATCCACTGCGCCACCTAGATGACCCTGAAGATGTATATACTTAAAGTATACACATACACATATGCCTTGCCTCCTTTCTCTCTCTCTTACTCTCTCTCAAAGTCTAAACTTAAAACTGAAATAACACTTTTGGGACATCCTGTGTATGTACACACACACACTACTTCACTACTTCAAACATTACTACCCCAAAGTTCTGTCATTTCATGGATAACATTATTGCTATTATTGACACAGATCTTGGATTGTTGTAGCTGAAGACATTCCTCTCCCAATGGCCAGCCTTTTTGGTTATGACCCTCTGCAAATGTAAACAGATTGGATTTATATATCTGGAGCATTCCTTATACAGTAGGAATTGCCAGGAATGGAATGTTCCTATGAAGACAATTCCAAAAAGATGTCCATCTAGCAAGAAATGCAAGACCTTTGACGCCTATGTAAAAATGAACAAGGCAGAAGGAAAAGACAGGACATACTAGAAATCCTAAAACAAGGAGGCAAATTCAACTTCTTATTTGTCATTTCCTTTAAGCACTGCAATTTTGTAGGGTGAGACTCATTAATATGGTCCTGGAAGAGTATATTGAAAATGAAAAGGACTGGAAAAAAGGGTCAGGGCAATATAATTATATAGTAAAAATTGATATAAAAAAATCCAGGAACCAAAGCACGATGGAGAATAGTGGGGTGAGAATTAATGGAAAAAGAAATTAATAAGGGTGAAAGCTCCAGAGCATCCAGGTAGAGGAGTCTGGAAAATGGATGAGCAATACATACAACACAAAGGTATGACACAATAGTGAATGTAGACCTCAACTATCCAGGCATCTGCCAAAAGACTGTTAAAGGGCTCTCAGTTCAAATAGCACAGCTGACCAATTATTGATTTGTATTAATGTTACCAAGGCTGGCCTCTTTTTCTCCTCTGATAAACATTTCTTAAATACCTACTATGTACCAGGAACTGTACTAAGCACTGATAAAAAGAAAAGCAGAAAATTCAGTCCTTGCCTTCAAGGAGCTCATAGTCTAATGAGGGAGACAATATACAAGCAACTAGTACAAACAAGCTAAGCAGACAGGCTTACATTTTGGGGCCCGTAAGAAGCCCTAATACCTTGGTTGACATTTCCAGAGCTTGAGCTCCATGGGGATCACTTAAAGAATCCCAAGGTCACTGCCTCACCATAAAGCATTGGATTAGGACTTTAGCAAAAAGACCTAGATACTATGTGAATGTGTATGTGGATAAAGGTCACTTGTGTCCTGTATGTGAATAGTTTCAGTCAGCAGGAAGAAAGTTGGATTGAAATGAATTCATAGAACAATCATTGTCTCTTCTTGGCAAAGAAGAGAGTACTGCACTTGAAAATTGTAGATAGACACATGTAGAACCACTATCAAATTGCTTGCCTTCTCAATGATGGTGCAGGAGAGGGAGGAAGAGAATTTGAGACTTGAAATTTAAAAAAAGAATATTAAAATTGTTTTTACATGTAATTGGGAAAAATAAAATATTAATTTTTTAAAAAAGTTGTAGATACACTTAGGCTGAACCTCCAACCTATTTACTAGTGTTGCCATGCTTAACTTGATATAGAAAAATCTCAGAACTGGAAGGGTCCATAGAAGTCATCTGGTTCAACTTGTTCATAAAGCATCTCTTTTACCACAATGAGTCAAATTCACCGACTGTAAAAGTACCATATTAAAATGTAATTAGAAAATGTTTAACAAAATAAATTTCAAAAACCACACAATGTAGATAACGTTAATTTGTGGTTTTTTAAAGTCAACATGCCCGGATCAGTTTCTATTTGAGTTTGACAACGCTGCTCTACAATATTCCCAAAAAGGTATAATCCAGTCCTTCAGTGCTTGATAACCTTTTATGAGAATAAAACTTGCCTTTGTGACATAGCGGATAAGGCCCTGGACCAAAAAACACGCATTTAAACCCTGTCTGATATTAGTTCTGTAACACTGGTAAGTCATTTAACCTTTCAGAAGCTCAGTTTCCTCAACATTAATAATAATAATAATAATACCTACAATATTTTTCTCAGAGGTGTTAGGAAGCTCAAATAAGATCATGTATATAAAGTTATTTGTAAACCTTTAAGCACTATATAAATGTGACCTTCCCAAAACAATTCACTTCACCTTTGGATAGATAGATCTAATTGTTCCTAAATTTGTCCTGATATCAAGCCCTTAATCTTCTTCTCTGCAATTTCCATCCATTCTTCCTGATTCTATCTTCTGGGGCCTTTCAAATAATTGAAGATTGTTTGAGTTCTCAAAAATGAGAAAAGTAATGTTTAAAATTTCTATTTTTCAGGGCTGTTTTAAGGAAAGTATCTCTTTAGTTGTTAAATGCTATATAAATGTGAGTTTTTATGTCCTCTTGACTCTTCCTGGATCTTACTTATTCTTTAGATTAGCCCTTTCTTAGATATCATCTTTCCCCAATAACTTGTTGCTTTTCCTGTGTTTAATATTCCCAGCTCTCCTCTATCCTAAAAGACACCCTATTGCTCCCCAATTGTCCTTTATTCTTCCTTTCCACCCTCCCCCCCAATTTCTAGGCTTTCACAATTACTCTCCTTAAACCTCTGTAATCTTGTTTCCATTCCCATCACCCTAAGCAACTGCTTTCTCAACATCTCCCTACCTCCATCACCAAAATAATTGTTTTCCTTCCCCCTCTTCCTTGACCTTTCTGCAAAATCTGAGTTAACCACTCTTATTTCACTTACTATATTCCACCTTGCACTACTTATTTAGGTTCGTGTCTTATTCACCCTACTAGATTTTAAGCTCCTTGAAGGTAGTCCCCATTTTATACATCTTTGTAAAATATTTGAGTTCCCATTACAAGTTTGTTTACTTTAAGAGAATTGAGTTAGCAAAGAACTTGGAAGGGCTAGGGGAGAGTACTTTGAGAAATTCTTTGGATAATGCTTAAGTTTCAGGAGTGGTCTAAGAAGGGTGGACTGGTTCTCCAGGTACTACTTCTTATGGCAATAGTTACAGTCTCCAATATAAAAAACAACTACTTAAATAAGTTTTTACGATTGTCTCCAGTCCTCCTAAACCCACCCAGCTTTCTTGGAATACAATCTCTATGGTTCTGGAGGGCAGCTAGGTAGTGTGGATAGAGTGCTTCACCTAGACTCAGGAAGACCTAAATTGAAATCTGAAGGGGTTGGGATCTGGGCCGCAGAAAGGATAAACCCTGGATTTTCCCACTTGGCCAAATCTCTGGCGTTAGCCTGAGGCTATAATCCCATCAATTGGCCTTTCATTGTGGTTACACCCAATCTCCCAGTTAGGTTAACTTAGCCTGGCCTTCCTTTGTCTTACCTCTCAAAGTATGGCCCCCAGCCATTTCCCACCCTTAATTCTAGCTAGGCTCCTTTCTCCCTTGCCGGGGAGGTCCAGGTCCCAGGAGTTCTGTTCACCCCACCTTACTGACCACTCCTAGGTCCCTCCCACAGTCTTTCTGTATATAAAGTCCACCTTGTCTCCCTTAAGATGCTTAGTTTCTTAAAATCTAACCACTGCTCAGATTCCTATAATCTAGCCACTGCTCAATTTCCTAAAATCTAGCCACTGCTCAAATTCCTAAAATCTAGCCACTGCTCAGATTCTTAAAATCTACCCAACAGCTTACTAATGTTCAGACTCCTTAAGAGTCAGCCCAATATGACAGATGTTCTAATAAACCTTGTCTCTGGGTGAAAGAAGGCTTAGGTTGAATTCTTTCGGGCAGGACCAGCATGTTGTGATTTTGGGGTCCCAGCACCCTGAACCCCTAAACCGTATCTAAATCCACTCACAGACACTTACTAGCTTGTGTGACCCTGGGAAAGTCACCCAATCCTGTTTGTCTCAGTTTCCTCCTCTGTAAAATAAGCTGGATAAGAAAATGGCAAACCATTCCAGTATCTTTGCCAAGAAAACCCCAAATAGGGTCTTGTGGGACATGACTGAACAACAAAAAGGTGTGGAACCAAGAACTATAACCAAATCAACTCACTAACGGAAAGAGTGTTGTCAATATACTTCCCAATGGTCCTAGTATCCCTCGGAACTTTCTGGATCACAGAGCCCCTGCCTGGCCACCATCCCCCTATGTATAGGGTAGGGGGGTGCTGCAAAAAGTTTAACAGCTGACTCTACAAGAGAGGAAAAAAATACTTTAAATTTAATATGCATTACTAACGTTTTCTCCATTACTTTAAGTCTAAACAATTGACAAAATAATTTTTTAAAAAAGTTCTCATTTGTAGTGTTGTAGATTGAGTAGCTTATACAGAAAATTTTGGTTGTTTTTCCAGAGGTAGTGGGAGCAGCCTCCAGCACACCCTCTGTAAATGAGCTTCTTTCCATTAGAATGTAAGAACCCTGAGGGCAGGAACTTTTTTTTAAAATTTTGTATTTTCTTAGAACAGTTTAGCATTTAAATTAATTAAATACTCAATCAATTAACAATTAAAACTGAGCTTACACTACCTCAGCAAGCAATTTAACTCGCAAATGTTAACAGCCATTACTTTTTCTTAGATTCTTAAATGTTCTAAGTCCTGGAACATTGCCCCAATAGCAGCAACGCAAAGGAAGTAGAGAAGAGAGAAAGAGGCGGATCAGGGTGGAGAAAGAGAGCCACCTGGGACCGTCTGCGCATGCGCTGCTTTTCGTCCGCTCCATCGAGCCTCGGTTTTCCTTCCGCTCGATGTTCTCTGGCAGCGATTTCTCCCACCGCCTCCTGCGACGACAACGATGCTGACGCCATTTTGACGGTGACCAGAAAGTGGGGCTCCTGAGCACAGGTAAACACCGGCTGACCCAATTAGTCCCTCTGTCTCCCCCTACCTCTCTGGTCGTGGTTTTCGCCTCGTTCTCTCTCGTCCTTCTGGGTTGTTTTCTCCTGGAAGCCTCTCTCCGAGCCTTGTCACAGTCTTGTCACTCGGGCCCTGTCACAAGGGTCCGGGCCTGTGTCACTCGTCTCAATGCTCCGCCCCCCCCCACCCCCGTCCCTTCACCGCCTCGCGGAGACCTCCAAACCTCAGAGAGTCTGTGTGCTCAGGGCCCTGGCTCCTCCACCCCCTGGCTGGGCATTGGGGGGTCAGGGTAGGGGTGACGCCTTTGGGGGCCGAGGCTGCCGGGGCTCGGGCTCCCAGCCTTGGAGCCCCCTCCCGACTGGGCCAAAGAAAAGTGCTTGTCGCGGGGTTCGTTGAGCTCAGTCACTCATTGCCTGTCACCAACCCGTTCTTACTGTTTTTGTCTTTTTTCCTCCAGGAAGAACTTGCCATTTAGGAAAGGGGGAAAAAAGCAATAAAAGAAAAGATTCTTTTTATTATTTTCCTCTCACCAGAAATGGCCAATGTGAGTAAATTAAGTCGAGTCCTTAAAATAGCTGGTGGTAACTGCAGCAAAAACTTACCGTATTTTGATGAGGGGAGGATTGGGAGAAGGGCGGATTGGTTTTATCTTGACTTGAGAGGTGAAGAATTCAGTCATTAAACACGCATTTAGCGCCTGCTGTTTGCCCAGGCACTGTGCTGAGCGCTGTAAGGATGCAGAAAGAAGCAAAAGACAGCCCCTTCCATCACAATCTAAATTTTGGTGCTGATAACACGACATGGGTATGTAAGGACTTAACCTGTGTATAGCTAGCTTTGTATGTATGTGTTTGCATGTTGTCTCTACCATTAGATTGTAGACTTCTAGATGATGGGGACTGTTTTGCTTCTTTTGTATCCCCAGCACTTAGCACGGTGTTTTAGCATATAGTAGACTCTTAATGAATGTTGATTGATTGATTTGTTAGAGTGTTTTTGATATGGTGGTTTTTGACCCCGATTTTCCATTGAGTTATAAAAAGCGGAGTGTTTGATTCTCCATTTAAACAGTTCTATAGCTTTTAGGTTTATAAATGCAATTTCTTCTCATTCACAGTGCTAGACATATAGTAGATTATTAGTAAGTGTTGATTGCTTGGTTAGCATGTTTTTAAAATGATGGTTTTTGACTCTGTTTTTAAGTTGAGTCATTAGAAGTGTTCTTGGTTCTCCATTCCAATAAATCTGTAACTCTTAGATTTATAAACACATTGCCTTCTCATTCACAGAGCCTGGCACATAGTAGATGCTTAATAAATGTTTATTGAATTGAATTCAAAAGAGGAACGGGTTCACTAAAAGTTTCTTTTCAAATAATTTTTGCCATGTCTAACTTTTATGAATAGATAAAGCATTTATTAAGTAAGCTCTCACTGTGGACCAGCAGAGTAAAGTTATTCCTTTTTCCACATGGCTGGATGTTTTACATGGCTTCCCTTGTATAATGAGTATCATGTTACTTGCCTTATATAAGGAGGGAATGGAGAAAGGGAGATAATTTGGGGACTCAGTATTAAAAATGAATGTAAAAAATTTTTAATGTAATAAAAAAAGAAAATGCAAAAGAAAAATAAATAATACTTCTTGCAGATATTATCAAAGCCTTTAAACATCACCTTCATTAAGTAAACCTTTGACTCCACTTAGAGCAAGGGTTTTTAGGGTTTTTTTTGTGTCATGGAGTCCTTTGGTAGTCAGGTGAAATCTATAGACCATTTTCAATATGTTTTTAAAGGTATAAAGTAAAATACATAGATTACCAAGGAAAACAAATATATTCAAATAAAGTTATTAAAAAAATTTTCATGATCCTCAGTTATCTATCCACAAACCCCAGATTAAGATCCCCTGATTTAGAGAATGATAAATTGAAGGCTAGGAATATCAAGTTCCAGTCCCATGAAAGTATAATACATTCAAAAGAACAGTAAACAGTAACTGGCTTTTAGTCATGACTCCTAATGACAGACCTGTAAAATAAAGGAAAACCATTACCCAATAGTAAAAATGTTGTAAACATAAAAAAAAATTAGTCCCTGTGTTTTTAAAAGGAAAATTCTGCAAATATTTGAATAACATTATTTGTAGTTTCAGAGTCCTCTGGCAAAGTGTACGCTCTTAGGTAAACTCAGGTGACTTCTGGAAAGTGTATAAATTCACCTAGTTGGAAAGAGCCTATGCTTTTGCAAGGAAAATTTTGTGAGAATATTGTTTTGATATACACAGTATAGTATTTAATGTTTATTAGGTGACCTTTCGGAACTTAAATCAATTCTTGTACATACAGTCCATGTACAGTAAGTACTTCGCATATGTGCATATCTTGCAGTATAAAAATATAAATGTTCTCTTGATTTTGGAGGAATGTTTTCTTTTACAAAAGGGATCTTAAAATATCATCTGAAGAACCTGACATCTGATCAGAAGAACAAGTTTGTTCATAACTATGTAGGTGATTCTAAATTGAAACTGCTTAATCTGATTTAGACTTATGATTATTAACAGTAGCTTTAAAATTTTATTTATTTTTGGTATTCTTTTCTTTTTAAACTTCGAGTCCCACAATCTCTCCCTCCCATTTCCTCCCTCACCCAATGGGAAGGCAAGCAATATAATAGCAATTATACATGTGAAATAATGCATAGCATATTTCTATATTAGCCATATTCCTCCCAAGAAAAAGAAAGTGAAAAAAAATCATACTTCATTTTGTACTCATAGTTCATTAATTCCCTCTCTGAAGGTGAATAACATTTTTTCATCATGAGGCCTTGGGAATGTCCTGGATCATTGTATTGATCAGTCTTTCACAGTTGATCATCATTACATCATTGTAATGTACTGTGCAGGATGATCTCCCAGTTCTTCTCCCTTCACTTTGCTTCAATTCATATAGGTCTTGCCATGTTTTTTCTGAAACCACCCTTATCATCTTATTGCATAGTAGTACTCAATCACAATCATATATATCCTCAACTTAACCATTCTCCAGCTGATGAGCAGACCCTCAATTTCCAATTGTTTGCCACCACAAAAAGAGCCACTGTAAATAACAGTTTTATGCCCTTTGGGCATGGTTCCAAATTTTCTCCAGAATGATTGGACCAGTTCACTATTCCACCAAACAGATGTTAATGTACCTGTTTTTCCCTCCTCCTCTCTAGGATTTGTCATTTCTGGTAGATGTGAACTGGTATCTCAGAGTTGTTTTAATTTGTGTTTGTCTAACCCATAGTGATTTAGAGCCTTTTTTCATATGAGCATATATAGTTTTGATTTCTTCATCTGAAAACTAACTTCATATCCTTTGACTGTTTATCAATTGGAGAATGGCTCTTATTTTTATAAAAGTGATTCAGTTCTATGTTCTGTATATATTTGAGAAATGAGGTCTTTATCAGAGAAACTTGCTGTAAATTTTTAGATAGTACTTCATTGTCTATGGTACATTTTATCAAAATGAAGTTTACTTGATTATCCATTTTAATTCCTGTTAAATAATACATTTTTCTTTTGCTTTGTTTGAGATCATGATTGCTATCCCTGCCTTTTTTACTTCAGTTGAAGCATAATAGATTCTGCCCAGCTCTTTTTTAAATTGTGTTTTTCTTTGTTTCAAATATGTCTCTTGTATACAGCTGTTGTTGGATTCTGGTTTCTAATCCATTCTATCTAATTCCATTTTATGGGTGAGCTCTTCTCATTATCATTCACAGTTATGATTATTAGCTGTGTATTTCCCTCTATCCCATTTTCTTTTGTTTCTTCTTCTCTCTCTTTTTATCCTGTCCTTCCTCAAAAGTCTATTTTGCTTCTAACCACTGCTTCCCTTAATCTGCCCTCCCATTTATCATTTCTCCCATCCGTCTTTTATCCTCTTTGCTTTCTATTTCCCTATTGGGTGAGTTCGATTTCTATACAAAACTGAGAGTGTATGTGTATATATATGTGTGTGTATATATATATATATATATGTATATATATATATATATATATGTATATGTATGTGTATTCTTCCTTCTTTGAACTAAATCTGATGAGAGGGAGTTCAAGTATTGCCTGCCACCACCCCTCCCCATTTTCCCTGGCACTGTAAAATCTCTTACTTGTGAGAAAATTTTCCCTATTTTACCTCTCCCTTCCCCCACTGCATCCCTCTTTCTTACACTTGAATTTTTCTTAGAGATCATTCCAGTGTAATCTACTCAAACCCATGCCCTCTGTCTATGTAAACTCCTTTTGACTTTGGCAATTGCTTTTAATTATTGTATCCACATACATTATAGGTCATAGGACCTCACGAGTCTGTCCTGAAAACCCCCCCTCCTCCCTTTTCATTTACTCAGTAATTCTTCAGGTATTAAAGGTAGATAGTTAAAACAAGCTACTGTCATCAGATGCTCCTCCCACTGTTTATCTAAAATTATGCAAATTAAAAACATATTCTAGTGTTGAAAGAGAAATTGAGAATTAATTTATTAGTATGCAGTAATTCACTTTTTTGTTGTTAAAACACTTGTTGGGCTAACAAAAACATGATACATTAGCTGAAGTTCTGAGAACATAGAATAAATTAGGACAGAAAGCAATAGCTGCTGTTTTGCTGCCTTTTATTCCCTTTTTGTTACAGACTTATTCTACTTTTTTTAGGAGGTGGGACTATGTTATTGAATGTATTTTTGATAAACATACAAGAACTCACGTCCCTAGGGAATAGTGTCCAGTTCATAGCAATTATATTTATTCTAATTCTGCTATTAAACCATTTTTAGAATTCAGTTCAGTGGCCTCAGTGATTTTTGAAAATGTCAATGTCAATAGGAAAAAAAGTGAATATACTCAAACCAGTAAATTTTAAAGCAATGTGAATAAAAAGGAACATTGCTTTTGTGCCTCAAAAACTGGCTTTAAAAGTAATTTCAAAAGAGTTGTTCAAAATATTTATGATCATCATTGGAATAAAGGTATGTAAAACTGGAGTTTTTTTGTTTGGATGTGTTGCTTTGCTTGGTATCTTGTTACGTTGTAGCAACACATACCACTTTTTGAGTGCCGATTCTTGTGATCCGATGTTAACTCTCTGTGAACCATACAAAAAACTAGATGGTCCTTGCGCTCAAGCAACCTAGTGTAGTTGTATTATAGTTATTTTTGTATATTCTCTCTCCTAGATCTTAATAAGCTTTACTGAGTTTTATATTCCCAAATGGATATAGCATAGCTAGTACCTTGCTCCTAGTTGCCCAGTGACTATTTGAATCAGTGCATGAATAGTTAAATAAGGCATATACTTAAAAATTAAGTGATTCAAGAAATATTACAAAGCTATAAATAATTAAGTGGCAATGATAATAAATGCTAAATGATTTTGGGGTAGAGAAGGAGAATTGCTGGGGATCAGCAGTAATGAGGAATGTTTCCTGAAAGAAGTGGAGCTTGTGCTTTTGAAAGAACTTAGTATATTTACTGCATATTCCATTAACTTAGCTACACAGGAAGCTGGCCAGACTTAGGGTAAATGGGGACAGGACCAGTTAAGTTTTTTTCTGGCCAAATAACATTTTTGAGGGTGAACTATTTTTTGCAACTGCCATAAAACCTCATTGATTTAGATCTTTATTCAAATGTCATAATTTCCACATTAAACATTTCAGCAAACTGTAAGTTCCTTTTGTGTTCAAGGTCCTGGGCTAGACTCTGAATAAACACATTTTTTAAATGATAGTTTGAGTACAAAGTTCAGTATTTTAAAGTTAAGTAAAAGTTCAGTATGAAAAGTGGTATAACTTAAGATTTTTAACCTTTTTATATTTATGGTTATTGTAGATCTACTTTGAATTTTGCTCTTCATTAATAATTTTGCTTCATTATAATTTTTATCTTGATTTATACTATATACAGCTCTTAAAAGTTAATAAGTAAACCTTTTTTAAATTGATTCTTTCACATTTAAGATGACTTTTCACTTCTTTAATTTCAAATAAGCGAATCTTTTCTTTGTTTCAAAACTGTCCTACTTATTAATCTGTATGCCTCACCTTTAATCACCAGAATTTTCTACATTATGCAATATTTTTAACAACTTTGGGCTGAAACCAATTAGGTTAATATTAGAGCTTGCCCATGAGACCAACCTCAGAGGTTCTGCCGTTTTACCTACCAACCCTATGAAGACACCAAAGATTTCATTCCATTTCTAACATTTCCTAGTATTCTCAAAATGTGTTTTTGTTTACAAAAGGGAAAAGTAAGACATTGTAAATAGGATCCTACTAATTCTTTGACATGGAAAAATTTAGTTTGTCACATGCCCAGTTGATAGAATCATCATCTTACATAAAAAAAAGCACATTAGTAGTTTCTAGTGATAACTTTTTAATATACTTATTTGTTAGAAATCATTCTTAACATTGAAGTATCTACTACATGAATGATACTGGTCTGGCTTCTGTTTGTACTGTGGAAAGTTTATATATCCTTAAAGGACCTACTTAATATTTCAATAAATATAATTATCATTTATATTTTGTTGAATTATACAAATAGGAATCTTAATGATAAGTGTTCGAAAAAATTATACTCCAATATAAGAGTTTACCCAGGAGATATGTGCAAGTATCGATATAAAACATTTCTATTCCAATCATTTTCATTTTCTTTTTTAATTTTAGGTGCTCTGTAACAGAGCCAGGCTGGTTACATACCTCCCAGGATTTTACTCTTTAGTCAAAAGAGTTGTAAATCCCAAAGCTTTTTCTACTGCTGGATCTTCAGGTTCAGATGGGTCTCATGTAGCTACTGCGCCCCCAGATATATGTAAGTAAAAGATATTTTTATATAATTTGAATTATTTTTATACTTGCAGCAAATTATTTGAATATACTTACCCTCTCTCCAAAAGTGGAAATATATCATGCCAGCATTATTAATTGCCCCACAATCCCTTTTAGGTATTCCTCCATTGCTATATCTATGTTGCCTATATCTACTGTTGCCTCAGTTTCCTTCACTGTGAAATGGGGATAATAATAGCACCTAATTCACAGGATTGTTTGAGAATCAAATGAGATACTTGTTTTGTTTTTTGCTTTTTGGGTTTTTTTTTTTTTTTTTTTTTGGTGAGGCAATTGGGGTCAAGTGACTTGCCCAGAGTCGCACAGCTAGTGAGTATTATGTTTCTGTGGCAGATTTGAACTCAGGTCCTCCCGACTCCAGGTCCAGTGCTCTATCCACCCTACCACCTAGCTGTCCCGAGATACTTGTTTTTAAAAAGCCTGGGATGTATAGTGCCTAGTACATAGTAAGTGCTAAATGCTTATTCTCGTCTCTTCTTCCCCTTCCCCAATGCTATTGTGATCTGAAGTTTTAAAAAATAACTCATCTTACCTCTTAAGAAAATCTCTCTTTCTAGTTTTTTTCTCCTACCTTTTAAAAAAAATTATTAAACAATACTGGTGTAATACATAAAGTATTTGCCTAATAAAAATTAATTAAAGAAGAATCAATCATACAAGAAAGAAACAGCAATTGTAGTATCCAGTACTAGTCTCTGGAACATTATAGGTCCTATATAAAAGCTTATTCCATTTCCTTTTCTTCCCTACCTTCAAATGTTTACATATTAACTTATCCAGACAAAACATGACTGTGATATTGCTACCTCCTCTAATTTCTATAATTTTTATACCTTCGTTGTCAGACAACGTATAATCTGTGTCTGCTGCCTCCATTTTCTCACTGCTTATCTTTCCTTAAAGCCCTTTAATCTGGTTTTCATCTACTAATACTAGTTTCTTCGGTCATTGCCTTCATCCTATATATTAAAACGTAAATGCATTTGTTCTTGAAACTTACTTTTTCCTTTATCTTCTGTTTCACTGTGCTATTCTAATTTTCTTGCTGCTTTCTTATTTCCTTTTTACATCCCTTAACTTAAATGAGTATTTCTCAAGGCTCAACCCTTGGCCCTCCATTCATTCCTAAACCTGTGCTTTAGTTAACAACCCAGATAATTCTCTATTCTTTCTCTTCAACCTCAACCCTTCTTTCCAGCTTCATTTATCTGTTTTCTAATAACTGGAATACCACCTTAAAATCCTACTGTCACCTTAACTTCAGCTGAACTCATTTGCATTTTTACTTACCTAGAACAAAGATCAAGAAAACTATTAAAAATTCATTTTTAATAAAAATAAGGACATCAAATATTTGGGAATTGACCTGCCTAAAAATACACAGGATCAGCTTAAGGATAGCTGTAAAAGTATAATGACTAAAATTGAAGGGGAAATTCAATGTTTATGAATGGGCCAGATTAATAAAGTAAAAATGGTAATACTCTGCAAATGTATGTCTAGTTTATGTGATTACAATGAGAATACCAGGAGATTCATTTATAGAACTAAATACAATCTTAATAAAATTTATATGGAAAAAATCAAGTTCACAAGAATATCAGAGATAAGATGAAAAAAGTTGATAAAGTTTTTAAGCTGATAAAGCCTACACTTCAGGACTCAGAATATATGATAAATTGGTTAGCAATATTTTTGGGTGTGGGGTACTTTGGGGTACAAAGAATAACAATTGATGCTATTTTCATTTTATTTAGGTATACGAAGAATCCCATATGTATTTTGATTGGAATTAAATAAATTATTGGGGGAGAGTTCATTTTAACTTTATTAATCTGATCCAACAATATTACATAATTTAGGTCTTTTTTTTTTTTTTTTTAAAAGGCATTATAGTTTTAACCAAAAAGACCGTTATATGATAAATATATATAAAGTAAAAACCTGGAGGAAAGGATTCAAAATCTAATATGCTTGGGAAAGTGGGAAGGTTGACAACATGCCAGAGAAGTTTAGACCTACAAATATATAATGCCATGTACTTCTCTGAATTTCAACGGGTGGATAAGCTTAACTTTATTTTTCTAAAACTATATAAGGATGGAAGAAAAGGGAAAAATGCATTTGTCTCAGTTTATGGAAGATAACTTTTTTCTGTTCAACAAATAGAAATTGTTAGGGACAAAAGACATGCTTGACTACATTCAAATCAGAAACAATACAGAAAAAAATAAGATTGGAAAAATATTTATGGCAGATATAATTGATTTAAAAACTTGACATCAAAATCATAAGGAGCTGTTAAAAAAAAACTTACACAGTTAACATCCAGTGTACAATAGGTAAAATGGTCAAAAGATGCAATTTTCAAAAGAAAAAACCTATGTTGTTAAGAATTTTGAATTATGAAATATGAAAACTTGAAAATATGAAAAACCTTGAAACATGCTCAACTGCACTACTTATCAAAGAGATGTAAGTTAAAATGACTATGAGGTGCCACATCACACCCATCAAATTGGCATATGTAATTAAAAGCAAAAAACTCAGTAGTGGTGAGATTATGGGAAAACTGGTAAATTAATTGCTGATGAAATTAGAAATATAAAATTTTTTTGGAGAATAATCCAGCAGTACCCAGTAAAATCACAAAAAATTGTAATACCATTTGTCCCAATAATTCCAGTTGTTAGTGATTTTTAAGTGTCATAAATAAACAAAAATAAACTTAATAAAATTTTTTCATAGCAGAATTATTTGTAATTACAAAAAACTACAAATACTTAAATGTCTAATAGAAATAATTAAATAAGGATCGAAGAATTTTGTACACTAATGTGATGGAATCATCTAGTGCAGTTAAGTCTAACATAATAGGAACATGTAGGAACAGACTTTTATGAAATAATGCAGATTTTTTAAAAGCAGAAGGAATGAATTTTAGCATTTTTAGGTGCTTATTATGTGCTAGGCATTGTACTGAGTGCTGAGGATACAGATTTTAAAAGAGACAGTCCTTTCCTAATTACATTCTAACAGGGAAAATAACACATCCAGGAATAGGTAACCAGGGAGGAGAGTTTTGTGCTGGGGAAAGGTCAGGGAGGAATTGACAGGTTCACTCAGTAGGATTGGCGAGCCAAAAGTGAATGAATTAATTTTTCCACGGAGTAGGTCATGGATTCAGGAAATCCCCAATGTGGAGATCCTGGTCTGAAGCTTAGTGGATACTGCAGGTCCAGATGAGGAAGAACAGCTCAGTGGCTGCTGATGGATGGTGAAATTGGATGACTAGATGCAGTGTAAAGCTGCAGTCCAGTCTGATGACCAGCATTAGTCTTGTATTGACTAGTCATTGAGGTTATCGTATATACCAGTCCAGGCCTGTTCCATCCTTACGTCTGTTCACTGGTATATTTCGTTCCAGCTCTTCCTTGGAGGCATTTGCTCAGCAGTAGCAAAAAACTGGCTTCCTGGACCACTGTCAATTTTCCATCTCCCTCCCTGGAATAGAATGGCTAGCCACCAGTTTCTCCTGACAGAAATTTCCCTACAGTAGCAGGCTTCTAGGGCATCTTGCCACCTCTTCCTCCTTCTGGTCATCCTTCTTGCATCCATCTTCCTTGTCCACAACAAATAGAATTCATACTTAACTGGAGCCATATAAAAGTGGATGTGAGGAGTTGGGTGTGAGGCCACAGGCCTATATAATCCCTAATACTAGGGAGACTGGGGCACTTGAGCCCTGGAGTTCTAAGCTGCAGAAGGGCTATACTCATCAGATTTCTACACTGTCTGGCACTAACATGATGAGTTTTGGGGGTGCTAAGGTGCTCCAAGATGCCAAAGGAGGGGCACACTAACCCAGGTCAGAAAAAAGCAGGTTAAAACTCCTGGACTGATCAGCAAGATGGGGACACATGGTCTTTTTGTTGTTGTTGTTGTTGTTGTTGTTGTTAAAGAAGAAGAGAGTAAATGTAGAAACAATTCCAATTAAGACTCGGGATTTCCTAGACAGTTATATTTCATATATTGAAATTAATTTAAGTCCAAATATTGATGAAGTAAGTTAGATGTTTTTGAAATGTTGGACAAAACTTAGTGGACATTGCACTACTACCTTAATCATAATGATTTTACAACCCAAACCTAAACAGATTGATTAGGATGAAAATTGCTGCAAAGTCCTATTTATCTCAGTGGCAAATAGTCTGAAGACAGCCAAGTGTGGCTAGGAAATAGACATGCATCATTAATATTGCTTGTGTCTGTCATGTGATTAATAACTGATCTTTCTATTTGGTGAGACCACTCATTTTTTTCTTTCTTAAGTTCTACAATAATTATGCTTAATACTATGTTGATAAAAGGACTTTACCAATTCTGTAGTATTCTTTTTATTCCCAAGATGTATTTATAACCCAAATTTTAAAAAAAAAATTAAATGTGAAAAGGCAAAGGAAAAAAAATGGAAATTTGCTTCTGTAGAGAATTAAGCCAAAGAATCATATCCTATATTTGTAATATATGGATTTCTCCTTAAGTCTCTCCCTGAACCCCACCCCCCCCAAAAAAAAAACAACCTCATGATTTTCAACCCAGAAGTGGTTTCTGACTTATGTTAGTGGTACCATTATTTTCCCACTCATCTTGGTTGGAAATCTTGGAGTCTGTGTTGAGCCAGATCCTGGAAGTAAGAAATACCACAAGAGAGATGGACTTGTAGTAGATAGGAGAGTTTCTAAAAGTAACTACATCCAAAAAATATGGCAGTTCAAATACATGTTTGTTTTCAACCAGAAAAAAAAAACACCCAAACTGAAATTTCCAGACCTCATGATCAAATTTTTAGTGTGTGTTTTTAAAATAAATCTCGAATTTTATTTAACAAATGGCATTGATATAGATGATGTATGTTCTCATTAAGATCCGCATTGCTGAAATCTTAACCTCCTTCTTCCCTCCCCTCAGAACTTTCTTAAAAGAATTTCTTACTTTACAAAAATCGTAGGCCCAAAAACTATAACTTCTGTGCCAAAACTGAAGAAAAAATAATTATCTCCACTTCTTTTTAGGTTCAAGAACTGTGTGGCCAGATGAAACTATGGGACCATTTGGGCCCCAGGATCAAAGATTTCAGCTCCCTGGGAATATAGGTTTTGACTGTCACCTCAGTGGAACAGCTTTGCAGAAGAAAAGTCCAGTTCATAGAACTTTGCCTGATGTCCTAGCAGAGCCTTTATCAAGTGAAAGGCATGAATTTGTGATGGCACAGTATGTAAGTGAATTTGAGGTAAGAATTGTTATTGTCTAATAAAAAAGTGTAAAAATCTTATGAAATTATTTCAACCATTACAAATTATCAATTCGACTGTAACTTATCCTGGGGAGTTGCCTGAGGCACTCAGGTTAATTGACTTGCTTGTAGTCACAAAGCTAGCATGTGTTAGGCAAATTCTGAAAGCCCCGTCTTCATGACTCCAAGGCCATCCCTCTAGCTAGCTAGCTATTCTGTTATGCTGCCTCTCAAGATTTGATATTGCCTAGAAATCCTTAAATGTTGTTAATAAGGAGGAGGTGTTGTGTGCTAAAAATGTTTACCTTTGAGCTTACAGTTTGTTTATACTATAGCTTCTGCCTTCCCTTTCAAAACTACCTCATTTTTTATATATTCTATATGCGTGTGAATTGGCTTACCTGTAAGAATGCCAACTAAATGAGGGGAGAGGCTATTTGACTTTTTAGCTTTGTATCCTAACATGTAAAACAGTGCCTGGCATATAGTAGAATTTTAATACCTACTTGCTGATTGCTAATTGATTAAATCTGCATGATTGCACTATAGCTGGCAGACATATCTAATGCAAAAGCGTTCCTGGCCCAAAAGTAATGTTTAAAGTTTGGCTTTTAAAGTTTGTATAAAAATATATTTCTCAGTTTTTTTCAGGAACACTAGTTAAGGCAGAGTGTTTAAATATCTTAGCATGCTTATCACTGTTCACATACCTCCAGTTCCAGGTTGACTTTGTCATTATAGGATATAGGAGCAACAACTTAGAATTAATGCAGGTTGCAAAACAATTTCTCTGGGCATGTTGTGTGTGTGTGTGTGTGTGTGTGTAAGTGTGTAAATATATTCATATTATTCCATGTAATACCTGTGAAACCTGTTTATCATCAAATACAACTGAAAAAGGAGATGGGCCAGGCAAGTAGCAAAAATATTATATTGGTTTCTATGCTATGTTCAGTGATCTATAGGAAGAATTTCCAGTACTTTGAGTGGAGTCCCATAGAGGAATAATGGGAGTATGGGACATGAATGTCTCATAATATGAGAAGTTGTTACAGAGAATATAGATTATTTTTTATATCACCTTTATTTCTTAGTATATCCCTTCCCTCTCCTCTACTCAAAGACCCGTCCTTTATTGCAAGAAACTGAAACGGAAAGGCAGTTCAACAAAATTAATAACCAAATTTGATGGCATACACAATCATATATATTCATAGTACCTCACCTCTGCAAAGAATGTGAGAGAAAGATGCATTTTCTCATCTTTTTTTCTCAGCCCAGATTTCACCATTATAATTACACAGCAGTCAGTTTCTTTTTTTGTTCAATTTCATTTACATTGTTTTCATTGAATTTTTTTTCTGATTCTGCTTACTTCACTCTATATCAGTTCATTTAAGTCTTCCAGTGCTTCTGTAAAGTCTTTATTTTCATTATTTCTCACAACACAGTAATGATCCATTTTTATATTGATGCACCACACTTTGGTCATCCATTCCACAGCTGATGGACATTTACTTTGTTTTCAATTCTTTGCTACCACAAAAAGTGCTGATGTGAATATTTTTTATATGCATGTGTGTAGATGTAATTTACACACACATATATCTACGTATAATTACATATATATGTCACTTATGTCTTTGACCTTCTTGAAGCATATGACTAGCTAGCATAGAGTCTTTGGGTCAGAAGGTATGGAGGTTTTAGTCACTTTTTTAACAGAATTCCAAGGTATTTTCCTGAATGTATAGACTGAAAATTCTAAATAGAATTTTATTTTAAATTCACTATAAGGAATCTCCAAATCATACCTAAAGTCCCTTTGACCACTCAAATCGGGAGCAAACTCTCTTCATTTTAATAAAGTAGAAATAAAAGACTAAAGGGAAGATGAAAGCTTCCTATACGGGCAAAACTGGTATAAGTTGGAAGCAGTATCTGGGTGTGTCAAGGATTAAAGAGAAGAGTGGGAAAGTAAAAGTGTTTTTTCTTACTTGATCGGATTGTGGTAATATACAAAGAATGTTTGGTTGACAGGTAATACTTTTTGTTTGACCAATTAAGTTATTCATTATTGTGAACATAATGATACCTTTGGGTCTTAAATTGTATGTATCTCTTTGTTAAGTGCTTGATAATTATTTATATCATCTGTCATCTCACATAAAAATCCTATGTAGGTTAATACTGTCCTTATTTTACAGAAAAGACAAATAGTGAAATGTTACAAGATGATTTCACAGTTGTCACTGCAATATAATTCTGAAGTTTTGACCCATTTCTTAACCTGTTATGTGTTCCGTTCTTTATGAAATCAGATCTTAGAAATAAATACCATTATCACATTTATATATGTGAGACTCTTTTTCTTCATTTCGCAGAAGTAGTTTAATTTGACAGAATATATGTTATAAAAGTAACTTTAATTGTTCATGCCTCTACCCCTGTGTGATTAGAGCCTGTATTTCAGAGATAGAGATATATGAGGCTAACTAGAGACAACTCAGTAAGATCACACATTACTTGAAACACAGATTTTACCTACTTACATTGTTTTGTTCTCCTTAGGGAAGTGATGCACCTGTTGAACAACAGGAAATTAACAGGGCAGAAACTTATTTTGAAAGTGCCAAAGTAGAATGTGTCATACAAACATGTCCAGAGCTACTTCGAAAAGGTACAGTTATGTTTTATTTTCTGTGGCACTGATAACCAGATAACATAGGTAATTTTCTTACTATTGAAGAATTCCCTCTAGTGGTAGTAATGTTTAAATCTCAGTGATATAATACATCTTTGACATTTGAATGCTTTTACCTTAGCCATAGTAAGTACTTTGTAACATATTACCCCATAGTGACATTCCTTAAAGAGAAATTTAGTTTTGTCACTTTTCGTGTTGTCCTTTTTTTTCTACTCCACTTTGGAATAGAAAATTGACTGTGCTGCTATGTTGTAATAAACATTAATTAACAGTTTGATTGTTATTAATAATTAATAGTTCATCTACTATATCCATTGTGCTAGGCACTAAGATATAAAAACATCAGCCTCTGTCCTCAAAGAACTTGCATTCTACCACATTGTGTTTTTGTAACCCTGGATGTGATTCTAAAATACGTCAGCTTAGTGTACTATAATACCAGTAGGAGTCAGGCTTGGGTTCCAGTCCTGACTCTGAGCCTTACCAGATAATGTAACTTAAGCAAACTTTTTTCGGCCTTTATTTTGTCAGTAAAGTTTAATCTCTTATTAAAAAGTAATTTGAAAGTAAATTCAGAAGTTTTAAGTTCATCTTAGAAAACCAAAATTTGTTCCTCTTTTTCAGAAATTGTTTGCATTTTTTAAGTAATTGGGCTTATTTTGAATTTCATTTTCCATTCTTATGTACAAAGTACGTTGCAGAAATTACAGTATTCTTCTCTTTAAAAAAAAATTAGATACTACAGTAATGTATTTCTTCCCTAAATACCTTGGTTACATCCTGATCAAGCTCTACCAAGATAATAATGGTGGAATTTCTATGTAGCCTTCTTTAAAGACTTTTTAAAAATTTATGATATCACTGGCATGTGTACTCCCTCCACTGAGGCACATTGCAACCACTTTACATCTTAATGGAGGACCTGCATGAGTTGATATGGCAGTACAGAATTGATCATTTTAGTGATAAGCCTCTTCAAACTTTGACTAAACTTTCCCTCAGACAATCTGCCATTGGACCTGTCCTTAACGTCCTTCAAGCTCAGTAGGCCCTGCTAAAATTTGTTTTACCAACATAGCCTTCAAAAGCCAGGGTCGCTTTGATGTCTTGATGAAACATTGGAATAGGACCTTGGTGGAAGTTTTTCTAGTCTGAAAAGGATAAGGATAAACCCATGTTTTACATTTAAAATTCCAATCTATTAGCAATCTGAAGAAGAAATAATAATAACAGTAATAACTCATCATCATCATTATTGAGAAGCTGCAATGTCTAGTAGAAAAAGTGCTAGACTCAGAGTTAGGAGAGACCTAATTTCAAAAATAACATCTCTGACACCACTATGACCTTGTTTCATCTGTTAAAAATGGGATAATACTGCAATACTTACTTTACTTTTTAAAAATAATTTGAGTAAGGTTACATAAATAGCTTGTTAAGTAAATATAATAATGACAACCCATTTAAGTTAAATAATTCTTGTGATGGATGTTGAAACTCTTTGGCACTGTAAGGTACCTTATTTTTAGAATTGAATGAGAAGAAGATAAGAATAAAATTATAGTCTATATCTACATTGAATGTTAATTTTATTCTCTCACTAGATTTTGAATCCATGTTTCCAGAAGTGAATTCTGGCAAACTAGTAGTACTAACTGTAACACAGAAAACCAAAAATGATATGACCATATGGAGTGAGGAGGTTGAAAATGAAAGAGAAGTGCTGTTAGAAAAGGTATGTACACCTAATATTTCTTACTTTTTTTTTTCTTTCCTCCTGGGATGGATGTGAAAGATCTGTAGTGTCACTGATGTAAGGAACTCCATCATGTAGAAACTCTTTCCACCAATGTGTATTGGCAACTCATCTCTAACTTATAATCTTAGAGATTTGCCTGGGGTATTGAAAAGTTAAACTAGCTTTTCCATGAACAAAAAGCTAGAACATGTCAGATGTAAGACTTGGTCCTAGGCCTTCTTGACTCAAGGCCAGCCTGCTGTCTATCCACTTTGCCACACTGCTTCTCTTCTCCCCTCCTTTCTCCCTTCTGTGTACTAATCTATCAAAATGTTTTTACTTTTTAAAATTGTGACCTTTAGTTATGTCCATTAATAATGATCATAGCTAACATTTATATTGCACTTTTTGGTTTAGAAAACACTTTACATTCTCATTTGATCCTAACAATTACCTTGTCCAGTGGGTGGTATTATAATTATCCCCATTTTACAGATGAAAAAACTGAGTTTCAAAGAAGCAACCTGCCCAGGACTACAGAGAGAGAATATGTGAGGAGTAAGATCCTGGCTCTCCAAACTCTTAAGTCCAGCTTTCTTTTCACTGCACTGTTTTGCCTCATTTTTATTATAGTCTACTTTGATGTAGTGGAAGCACTTGAAATCAGAAGACATGCGTTTTTTGTGTTCAGAGCTGGTGCTGTCAGTATTTTAAAAGAAGTAACCGTACAACCTTTGCTCTCAATAAACATGAATAAAATGATAATAGATTCATATAGCACTTTAAAGTTGACAAAGTGCTTTACATTGTATCTTTTGATCTTCATACCAACCCTAAGTATGATGTGTATCATTCCCATTTTATAGATGAAGAATGAGAATAAGAGGATGGAAGGTGCTAGTCTGGTAGACCTGTACTGCACACTAAACTCTGGCACAGTACTATAGCTGTAAGCCACAACATCTCAGCACTCTAGGCCAGTGGTGTCAAACACAAAAAGAAATGGGAACCACTAAACCCCATCTGAAGATCCCTGCAGATGCATATTAACTTAGAAAACTGCATATTCATAATATCTGAGTCCTGTTGTATTTTTTATTTATTTTGTTAAATTTTTCCCATTTGCATATTAGTCTGGTTCTGGACACACTTGGAAGTTTTGTGAGCCACATGTTTGAAACCTCTGCCCTAGTCATTTCTTTTAAGACTATTAAGTTATGAATGGGTTGCTGAGGTCTGTAAGTGCAGAGGCCCTGGGCTCAAATTCTTTCTCTTTTACTTCAGATTTGTGTGACTCAGGCCTAACTCAGACCCAGCACTTTTTGCTGCTCCCATCCATCTTGATGCCAAGTTATTCTAAGTTACAAATACTTCCCCTTTCCCTTCATTCCACCTCTGACTCTGAGAACAGTAATCTGCACCACAATACCAATTCCTGGAAAGTCAGTCTGTCAGTTTCATCGAATCTCCACTCAACTATCACTGTCACATCCCTGACCATAAAACACACACCACCCCCCCCCCCCCCCCCCGGCCACCATTCTCCTATATTGTATTGTCTTCTCCTGTTGAATGCAAGTACTTTAAGGACGTTTGTATTTGTATCATCCTCTGTGCCTAGCCAATAGTAAGTGCTTATAAATGCTTTTTCATTCATCTATTCCCAACTGTTTTGTGGAATCTAATGGTGAAGACATGCAGCTGTTCTACCATGCTGTACTTCAAAACAACTGAAACTGTCAGATTATTTATTGTTGAATTCCCTCTTTACAGAATAAATGACATCTAGGGGTTTTAAGTATTACAGTATATATAGAAAGTGCACCTAAGTTACTGTCCACTAGAGGGTTTCTTCTCATGGATGATGTATAGTTAAATTAAATCTGATCTGTTCCAGCAGATGTCAGTGTCTACTGCTTGGTTACCAGTTGTACCCTAGCTGGTATATTGTTTGAGATTTTGTGGTTTCAGTTTTACCTTTAAAAGCTCTGTGTGCATCATCATCTTCTGCTATGGTTCTTTTGTTGTTAGTGTCACCACAAAGAAATCAAAAATACATCTGAAGTCTTCATTTAGTTGTTGATCTCTGTAGCTTTGTTCAGAATTGTGAGTACTAATATTTTGAGGTATGCAGAGAAGACAAAATGTTTTTATGATTGTCATTACCAAATAGTATAAAAATTACAACAGAAAATAGCAAAGTAGCTTCAGTCATCAAAATTTCCTAAAGGGGTGTGTATGTATGTGTGTGTATGCTCTGTATTTGAATCATTTTGCACTTTTGTGGTTTTTAGCATTGTAATCTAGTCTGTCTGTTGTAATCTTTCTGTCACATAGATTTTTTTTGTTAAAGAGCCATTATAAAGATGTTAGAATATTAAATATAACCTTGGAGTGAAAGTGTTATAGATGTCAAGTTCATGACAGATTCAGTTATTAATTTCTCAAATAGAAATATCCCCAAGAAAATTGAGAGAATTTTTGTTGTTGTTGTTAAAAATGATGAACCTTATTTTCAGGCAAAATCATATTCATAAGAGGTAAGCCTTAGTTTTACTTTGCTTTTTTATTGCTTAAAGATAATTATTGCATCAAAGAGTCAGACTTTACTGACTTAGGACTGCATTCTTATATGTAATGCTCTATTTGATAATTTTTACTATCTAATAGAGAAAAAATAGTGATAGCTAGAGTATTTCTCAGGTCTTTTCTCTTACAAAAATTGTAAATCAATCTTAGTGCTTATTGTCAAAAATATTTTCTTTTTCATGTATGGACAATAATCTAGAATTTTAGCTGAAAGTAGCTTTAGAGGTTGCCTAATCCAAAGAGTACTGACCAAAAATCCCCCCTACAGAATCTACAAATGTTGATTCCACCTCCACTTTAAAAGACTTCTAGTGATGAGCAATTTACCACTTCTCAAACAGCCCGTTATACCTTTGGATTTTGCTAAGAGATGGCTAATATTAATGTTAGGTATGCTTTCTAGATCAGAGTTGTCATGCATGGCTCACAATACTCCTATTGTAGCCCAAACCAGATTAAAATGTAATTGGTAAATATTTAACAATAAAAAATAAAATACAATGAAACATGGATGATATTACATTTTAAAATGTCAGTATGAAGCCCGTAGCAATCCTTGTGTGTATGGTTTAGTAATCCCCATTTCTGTTTGAGCTTGCCACCAATATTCTTGGTAATGGGAAGTAGAAGTGATAATAGTATTCAGTACATTCTGAAACCTAGGTTAAGGCTTATAAAAATGGTAATTGTACAGTGTTTTTAACTGCAGTAGGAACCCACGATGTGAATACAATAGCATTTTAGCATGATTTTACTTTTTTCCCCAATATAAATTAAGAAATGCTAAGGAAAACATGTTTATGATGCATGAGCATCAGAGTTTGCAGCTTTTAAAAAAAGGACTTGGAATTAGTGCACTTTGGCAGGATAGTGTATTTTAAGTTTTTGCAAAATTAGCTTTCAACAGTATCAAAATGAAATTTACTATAGAACTTTTAAAAAATTATATTTTATTAGTGTCTTCCTACCCCTACACCTCCCTTCACCCTTTCATTGTCTTTGTTCACTTCTATATTTGTGTATATTTTTGTGTAGACTTTCCTTTATATCTACTCATAGGGATTATATAGCTAAAGCAGGAAAAGATCTCAAAGACCATCTTTATATTAGAGATGTATTACCTTTTAGAGATATATTACCCTTTATGTTAGATATGAGGAAACTGAGGCCACAGGAAGTTGTGATTTGCCCATAGTCACACGTGTAATTAGCGTCAAATGCAAGATATGAACCCAGGTCCTAACTTCAGAGAAAGTGTATTTGCCTTTACATATACATTGTATACAGTCTGCATACTGAGCTACTCAAAACAGTTGCTAAGTCTTATTGTTTTTACCTCCACAACATCTCTCACATAACCACCACCCACTCCTAATTTAGGCTTTTAAGCTTTTCAGTGACTTGCATCTAACTCTTAATTGGTCTTTCTGTTTCTAGTATGTCCCACTAGAGTGCCTCAAGAGAAAACTAGGGTAGAACTCTGAACTTCTAAAAATCAGTCAACAAATATAGACTGATTTAGAATTGTTAGGATCTCAGAATTATAGAGAGTATTACAGCACTGTATTAAATAATCTTTTTGTGCACATGCATGCTGTGTGTGTGTGTGTGCGTGTGCGTGTGTGTGTGTAGATAGATATCCTGCTTTCATATCCAGTTTGATCCAGAAGAGATTATAAGCTCTTCAAGAGCTTGGACTGTCATTTAGTTGATATCACAATTTTTAAACACAGTTCTTAATGAATACTTATGGAAATGAGTTTTAGGATTTTCATTCAAGGTACAGCAATTGGCCCAGTGTTTTCTAATATTTTAGTCTTTTACCTGACATTCACACCCCTCCAAAGATAAGAGTAACTACAGGTCATTTGGGGGTAGGATGGGGGAAATCTGGGCAATTACCTACACAAAACTTATTTTGAATAATAGTTCATAAAATAGGAAATAAATAAGAATGCTACTGAATTTATTAGACTTTTTTGAATGAAGGTTAATAGGTATGAGTCTATAGTCAGCTTTAATGATCAAAGCAGTTGTAAAATGTACAAACCATCACTCTTTTTCCATTTGGTAAAAATAATACAGTGTTATTAGAATAGTAGCTTAATATTCATCATTAATTTTAGTTTTTAGTATTGTTAATGGTCTTCTCAAAGCCAGAGATGTTCTATTCAGGATTTTATTTTAGCATGGTAAAAACTGATACTAGAATGATTGCCTAAACATTTTATCATTTGTATAATTTCTTTATTTGCTTACAGTTTATAAATGGTGCTAAAGAAATTTGTTATGCTCTACGTACTGAAGGCTATTGGGCTGACTTTATTGATCCATCATCCGGATTGGCAGTGAGTAAATATGTTTCGAAAGCTAGAATATTTGAAATGAGAGAGGATTGAGATGGGTGGGCTCTCTATTGTGCTAAAGAGAATAGGTGTTTTGGAAAGCTCATTTAAACTTAAAGAAATATCGTTTAAAAATCATACTTGGACAGCCTCTCATTCCAGCTTCTCATCTGCACTTTGAGAAGTCAGCAGAATTTCTGTTTTGCACTAAAATCAGCTTATTTTTCATAAGTAATAATCACAGATCACAGGAAGACCTTGCCTGCCCTTCCCAACTGCTGATGCCTTCAATATATCTCTTATCTGTACCTAGATAGTTATATGTTGTCTTCCCCATTCAGGGGTAGGGAACTTGGTGGCCTCAGGGCCACATGTGCCTTCTAGGTCCCCGGGTGCAGCCTTTTGACTGAGTCCAAGTTTTACAGAACAAATCCTTTTATTAAGGGAATTTGTTCTGTGAAGTTTGGATTCAGTGGAAGGGCCACACTTGAGGACTTAGAGTCACATGTGACCTCAGGGCTGCAGGTTCCCCACCCCTGCCAGATGTATGCTGCTTGAGAGCATGGACTGTTTCTTGCTCTTCTTTGTATCCCTAGCACTTAGCACAGTACGTTGTACCATACTATATATTGAATGCATACTGACTATTGTGTATTTAATGGAACATTAGAAATCTTTACTAAGTTAAATGGTCTTCCTTAACTAAACAAACACTCCAGATTCTTTTAAGGAAAAAAATTACTGAATGTATTGAAGATCATCCTTATTAATATTTTGGATGCCAACATTTTAAAAAGTTGACCCTTGGTGAAAATTTATGTTCAGTTAAATTACTTTATGAGTTTTAGTTTCTAAAATCTTAAATTTCTACTTCTGTATTTTAAGAACAAGTTTATGAGTTAATAAATTTATATTACATTTCAAGGATCCTAGCCAAATAAAATATTACACATGTAAAGAATTTATGAGAAGTAGCATGATGTAATCAATATGAAAGTAGCCTTTAAGCCAGGAAGACTTGAGTTCAAATCTTGCCTTTGACATATCAGCTCTGAAACTGAACCTGTCATGAAACTGAACTTCTCAGTGTTCTAGGCAAATCTCTAAGACTATAAATTTCAGAAAAGGTGCCAGCCTGTTTTGGAAGCAAGAGTTTCCTCACCTGAGACCTCTAAAATTAAAATCACATATCTTTTTTTTTTGCTTTTTGGTGAGGCAGTCGGGGTTAAGTGACTTGCCCAGGGTCACACAGCTAGTAAGTGTTAAGTGTCTGAGGCTGGATTTGCACTCAGGTCCTCCTGACTTCAAGGCTGAAGTTCTATCCCCTGCGCCACCTAGCTGCCCCTGAAATCACATATCTAATTCCTGTCCCCTTGGAAGGGGGGAAAAAAATCACTATATATTTTGTAGAAATAGAAAAAAAAATTGTAGGAAAAATCACTGTGTATTTTTATCTCAATACAACTGATATACATTTAATATGTAATGTATCTAGCATTTTCTTTTGCCAGTTAGGCAAAATTAAAATTAGGCAGTGCTTAAGATGTTCCTTAGAGGAGAACATAATGATGGGCTTGTATTTGATATATGGGGGCAATCTTTCTCGTTTGTAATTCATTGTTCATTTCTTAAAAAAAGAGTACTTGTAAGAGACACTATTCTGAAGTAGGTACCTTAATGGTCTCTTTGTTTATGTTTTTGAGGTAAACTTATTTATGCCATAGAATTAAGATCCATTTGGTTTAAAGACAGTTTTTTTCCTATTCACTGGTTCCAAGTAATATATATCTTCCTTATCGATTTTTTTTTTTTAATCCTTAGTTTTTTGGACCGTATACAAACAACACTCTTTTTGAAACAGATGAGCGTTATCGACAATTAGGGTTTTCTGTTGATGATCTTGGCTGCTGCAAAGTGATTCGCCATAGTCTTTGGGGTACCCATGTCGTTGTTGGAAGTATCTTCACGAATGCCACAGCTGACAGTCGCATTATGAAGAAATTAAGTGGAAACTAGGTGGCAGCTGCATTATTTGTATTTGCCACTTTGTCTATAAATGGTGTAAAAAGTCTTCAGTTTTTTAAAGTACTCATTTCTAGGTTTAAAAAATATTTATTTCAGCGTCTGTAAACTTAAGAGTTTGTGATTTATGAGATTTTCAAAAATTGGCAATTGTTCACTCATATTTCTGTTTAATACATGTTAACCACCTACATTGTATAAAAAGCAGTAATTCATATGGATTCAAGGCTTGATCCCATATTACATGTTTATGGAGAGTTTTAGCTATTTTTCCTTTATGTTTGAAATTTTCAGGTTTACTTACATCCTTCCAAAAATAAATCACAGGTTAAGAAGATGAAGATGATGTTTCTTTTCCCATTGTGATGCTTTTCAAATTTGTTTCTGAAAACTTTTAAATTCAGATTCATGTAAATCTTATCAGGTTGCACAATTTTGGTAAATTATAGTTGTGATATATAGATTCAGGTTAAGAATCTTTCTCCATGTTTACTGGAAAAGCAGTACTTTTTACTACGTTTTTAAAGTTGGTCTTCCTCTAATCTAAAACTTTTAAAGTTTTGATATTTTCCTCATTTTCACTCTGTAGATATTTACTTTGTGTCAAGGTGCATACATCAACATCATTATGTAACCTAAAATGTTTTAGGCCTTGGGTTTAAAAACAAGTGGCAGAATATAAACACATTTCTTTATTATAGACAATTTTTAATTTGTTTCATTTGCCAAATCTATTTTTGTGATCCAATGATAAATTGAAACTGCTGCATGTTACAGAATAAATACCTCAGCCAATGACAGAACTTATTTTTTGATAATATAAACTTGACAAGACTAATCTTGTATCATTGGCTTTTTGCCAGTAACTGCCGTGAAAATAATAAGAATATGTAACTTATGCCAGAAAGTATTCATTGCCCTTCTATCTTGGGTTCCTCCTGTAGTTGTTAAATAGGGGTATCAAATACCTATTTAAGAACTGACCCACAGAAATGACAAAATATAGTATTACTCTGCTTGATTAACACTTAGCTTGGTACCAGGTGATGTTCATGCTTACAAGGAAAGTACTTAAGTTATCACTTATTGTAAAGAAAAGCAATGATTCTCTTTTTTTCTGTACTGAACAGTACAGTCAGTATTTTTTAAATGGGTTGCCAGGTAAGAGGTTGGAGAAGATAATCCCCTAAGTTCTCTTCCAGCTTTTAACATTCTATAATTCTAGATATTAATGATTCAAATACAGAAATCATCCCTAATAAGACTTCTAATGAACTCCCAAGGGTCCATGCTATGAGGCTACCTAACTGTATGGTCCTTTTCTTCAGTAAATAGTCTCCTATATGCCATGTGTTTTTAAGTAGTTCCTGCTACTTCATATTTTGCCTATCTTTTAATGCGTTAGTACCCCCTAAAATACTATTTTTTCCACTCTTTGCTACTTTGATCTGCCTGTATTCTTCAGCTGGAGTTGATTTATCATTTCGTATATTTCTCTTGTCATGTATCAGCACTTCTTTCCAAAAAAGAAGCGCCCCATTCTGGGAAAAGAGGTTTACTGCTGTCTTTGTGTTAGATAAACAAAGACTTGAAAAAATATTTGTTTTATCTATTTTGTTTTTGATGCAATTACCAGCAGTATGACAAAAAGCAAGGACTTTTTATACAGAGTTGAACGCTAAAAGGAGCAGTGTTTTTACAAAGTTGTGATATTTAGATAGTCAACATGAAGACAAACTATGAGTTCTGTGAACCCATACCCTTACACAAGGAAATAGGTGATGGTTACTGTGCTAATAAATGCCTGTAAAACAACTCAGGTCTTATTTTTCATACATTCCCTTGACTATGACCCTACAAGTAAGGCTAAGAAATGTATTTGCAAGATTAGTGAATATCCAAATCAACTACTGTTCCAAAATAGAGCTTCTTAGTTTAAATTAGTATTGATCCAGTGACATTGACAAGTTCAGCTTCAATTATCTTGAAAATATTTTTATACTTTTTTTTTCATTTTTTTTATATGTACCAACTTTGGCAGCTTAAGTTGTACAGTCACCATTTTAATACTTTTTTTAAGCTGTATCTTTGGCTTGTAAGTTTTCTGTATTATGCCAATCTTCTAACCATACCTTGCCATATCAACAGCCAGAAGGTCCAAATTTGTATTTATTTCATTTCTGCTTTTGTCATCATATAATATACAGTGCCTTGACTATTAAATGGGGTACTTAATCATTTGGTGGACTCGTAGATAGAAATAAAGATCTTATTTCTTTGTTTTTACAAGTAGAGCTTTTTATGGCTCTAATTACACCTTTGTAGTACATCTACTTTCCCCACACTATCAGCCAGACACATAAATATAAAGGGGATGGAAGCAACAGTGTGTCTGTTTTTCCAAAAATTGTGTCTTTTATTTTTAAAGTCTAGGATCTGAACATTCAATTGTATACACATTATAGCTTGTCAAGAAATATTCTTACTTCTATTAAAAGAATAGAAGCCAAAGGATTTGTGTACAACTTTAGCATTAAGTTGTCTACAAATTTATTTTTAAATATGTAGAAAAATAAAGTATTTTTCCATAAAGATACCATAAGTAGTTGTAACTCAAGTTGAGTATTAATAACTCTTCTTTATATAGTCAGTAATTATAACATGAAATCTGAGTGTTTCACGTCTCTAGCTATACAGAGCAAGTAGATCAAACAAGATTTATATTTATTTTGCTATGGAAATTAAAGTGAATGGCATATAGTTTTGGTGAAAGTATGGTGTATCAATTTATTGGTTTGTACCTAGTTGAAATCTACCAAAAAATATGATTAATGCAAAAAAGACCCAATATAGATAGATCAGCCTACTGGAGTCAAATGAATCTTAGTTTTCAGTTTAACCTGTTTACCCACTGGAGATCTTTAATTAATTGATTGCTGAATTGTTCAGCTCAATTCACAAATAGTGAACTATACAGATTACCAAAACTGAAGACTTGGGGATCATTTTAATGCAACTTATCACCCTGCAAAACTAATAAAAATAATACCTCTTAATTCCAGGGTGGGGAAAAAAGCCTAGATTTTGAGCTTACTAAATAATACATTCAGAAGAAACAATACTCTGTTGTCACATCTTCTATAGTAGCAGGGGATTTTTATTTTTATTTCTTTTACATTAGATGTTTTATTGTATCAATATTTGATTTCTCCTGTTTATTTTTAAATAGCTGCTTAGTAAATCTTTGACCATCACATGAGCAGCAAATATTTTAAGCATGTGATTCTCCACTCTCCTGTCTCAATTTCTTAACAGTAGCAAAATATATCATTGCTGCCTCCATTCAGCTTTGACATTTGGAGTAGAGCAAACTCTGCTTTCTAACATTTTAGTCTCAAAAATTTAATGGTATGGCTAAATCACTGAAAATGTGAAGTTAAGTCATAGCACAAAATAAACTGGAATTGTGTTTATTCTAGAGTAAATCATTTTAATGAGATGCCAGTAGTACCCACTGCACAGCAATTAACTCTTTTGGAATTACTGGGTTCTATTTAATTTCCTGGAAGAAGCAATTTATCTTAGATGAACAGAATTTTAGTTTGATTTCCATTCCCCATAGAATCAAATTCAGTTAAACAGAAAGAGAAATTTTCCTTAGCACTTTGCTCAAATAAGTTCGAAGAATTTTATGTCAGTTTAATCCCATCTACATCCCTGGATGCCAAGAGCTGAGCATATGTTGGCACAAAGATAAAACATTCAGCCATTTATTACCTCCAATAAGTGATGCTTTCTCATCTGCAAGATGAGGGTATTGGACTGGATGCTTTCTGAGGTCTTTTCTAGCTCTCATACTCTGATTCTTCAACAGAAATGGTATAGTGTAGTAGAAAAAGCAGTGGACATGAAATGAGGTTCAAGTCCCAAGCTTTGCCACACACTTATCTTGGAATTTGAGAAGTCACTTTAACTCTATGGGCCTCAGCTGTAAATGAGAGATTTGGACTACATAATTATGATTTGCATAATATCAAAATCAACTAGGAAAACCTAATTTGGAAATATCAGTACTTTCCTGCACTTTTCCAACTTCATATTGAGCAGTTACACAATTGTGGCTCAGTTACACATGGACCATCTGTACCACCTACCTGACAACTCCTTACCACTTTTTTCAAGATTCCTTTTCCTTTTTAAAATTTTTTTTTGTTTTTAAATGTATATTAAACTTAAGTACAAAATAAGAAAGGAAATAAACATTTCGATGTACACACGGAACATGAAAGGATTCAATACAAAGCAATAAATTTCCATTTCAAAAAAGCCTATATAATAAATACTACACATTGTTTTCAAAGCTGTCCAGCTTTGCTTTGCTTCTTTACAGATTTTCTTTTGTTCTCTGCTGTGCACTTTTTACTTTATTTTTCCCCTCCCCGCCAAAGAAGACTACAAATTAAATATAGAGATATGTCTGTGCGTGTACATATATACATACACGTATACATAGACATCTATAAACACACATGCACTCATACGCACATATGTGAGACCATACTGTGCTTATTTCTACTTAACTGTTTCTCTTAAGGTGGATAGTATCTTCTTTCATAAGTCCAAATCTTTCCATGTTTCTCTAAGTCAACCAGCTCATCATTTCCTGCATCACAACAGTATTTCAGTCCAATCCCATTCTGTCTGAAAGATTGTCTATGAAAGTTTTTTGCCCAGTTTTCTGCATTCCTTCTATTCTTGGCTGTATTGGTTTTATTTATACAAGAAAATTTTAATTTAATCAAGATTATTCATTAAAACTTCAATGACGCTATCACCTTATAATATGGTTTAAGGTCTGATACTACTGGATCTGCTTCCTTTACATCTTTTCACCCCTGATTTCTTTGTAGTTCCTGACCTATTGTTTTTCTAAATAAACTTTTTTATTATTTTTTTTCTAACTTAGATAATTTTTTAGTAATTTAATTGGGATGTCATTACATAAATAGATTAGGTAAAATTATCATTTTTATTATATTGGCTTTACCTACCCATGAATAAATATTACTTCAATTATTTAGATCTTTTCCTTCTGTCTAAACATTTATAATGCCTAAAAAGAGCCAGTCTGCAGTATAACATTTTGCCAGTGGGTGTTGCCATCTTACTGCCTAAAAATTTCTTAAGCATGACACTTCAGGTCATAATGCTTTACAACTAGAAAAGGGACTTTAGAGATCATCTAGTCTAACCCTTTTATTTCACACTTGATTAAATAGACCTAGAGAGCTTTTGAATTCCCAAAGATAATACAGGTCATTATGCAACAGAGCTATGATTTGAACCCAAGCCCTTTGACACATCCCTTGCTCCCTTTCATTAACCCGTACTACCTTTGTCAAGCTATAAAAAGTTAGCTCCTACATCCTAGAGCTGTTGTGATGACAAAAATGAGATCATATATAAAATGCTTTACATACTTTAAAGTACTGTGTAAACACTGGATACTGTTATTAGAGACTTATACCAAAATCTTATTCAGATGCCTCATCATGGTATTCAATGATCAACTTGGATTCTTGAAGGCTATGCCCTGAGATCAGCAGTTCTGGTAGATTCTACTAAGCTGGAAAACCTTCTAGTGTGGGTACAATGACAAACTGTTGCCCAGGGACCAACAAAACTAAATTCAGAAAAGCTTGTCACCAAGTTGGTTTCAGGGAGATGACATTTTTAGCCATAGAAACTCTTGCAGTCTGTCTACTACATTATAGAGCTAAGTGAACTAAGTCAGTGGAAGGAGTACCCACATTAACATTGCTTCTCATGACTACTGCAGACTTAATAAATTTTGTTTGAGGCAGCTAGGTGACACGGGATAGAGTGCTGGGCTGGAAGTACAGAAGAGCTGAGTTTAAATCCCAAAGGTGATGAAATGTTCCTTCCAGCTCTCAATATATAATCCCATGAATTTCTGATCTTTGAAATACTGTGTATTAGAGCAGAAAAGAGATCAGCCCTGGAGTAGTCGCACCATCTTCCCCCTCTAATTGTATGAGACACTCAATGCAGCTGACAAGTCGCACAACAGTGCTGATGGGTAATATTACAAATTAATGTACCTAACCTCAGTCGTGTCCTCCTTTCAGTAAAGCAGCCCTTTTATTCCTCCCTAATGGATTCCCTACCTCATTCCCCACAGAAATGATTCCAAACTTTCTCTTCCCTCTGAAAGTGGCTGCCATCTCTTGAAGGCATCCCCAGTGTCTTACATTCATAACCTCAGCATTGTCTCTGACTCCTCCCTCTCCCTCTCTTCACCTTCACAGCTATCACCTTAGTTCAGGCTTTAACCACATGTGATGAAGGTTATTGCAACAGCCTCTCTGTCAGGCTCCTTGCTTCAAGTCTCTCTTCCCACTCCAGTCCATCCTACACACTGCTACTGAAAGGATTTTCCTTAAGCACAGATCTGACCATATGACTCCCCTATTCAATCAACTCTATGGCGTCTGGAAGAAAATAGATATTCTTCTGTTTAGCTTTTAAAGCCCTTATAAGCTAGTCCCGGCCTGTCTTTCTAGCCTCACTGGCTATTACTCCCCCTCCTGCACTATGGGATCCAGCTAAATTGTCCTTCCCTCTGTTCTTTACACCCAACAATCCATCCCCCATTTCCATGCCTTTGCACTCACTTCCCACATACCTGGGATGCAATCCCTCCTTATTTCTAAGACAATTCCTCTCTTCCTTTAAGATGGAGCTCAAGCACCATCTTCTTTATAAATCCTTTCTTGCTTTCCTGGTCCCCCTATTCTAACCCACTAGTGTCTTCCCTCCCAAACTACCTTGTACTTGACCACTATATGTATGTTTGTGTATGTATATGTATGTGCACATACATATATTTGTATTTACTTTAGACATGCTATATATGTGTCTATACATTGTATGTGTACATATATTTGTATTTATTTTAGACATGCTATATCTATTTCTGTATCTATAAATATGTGTATATACATACACACAAACTATATATGTGTAAATAAAAGAGACCGGTGACAACTGGAGGTGTTGTCTTGAGCAGTGGAGCATCTTGGCCTTTTTAAGTTAAGGTCTTTCCCAGGTCTCAGTTTGTCTGAGGCAACACCCATTCAGTGATTAAAAGCTAGATTGTTGTTTGTTGGTGTTGTTCATCCTTCCTTCTCTAAGAGGACCAGTGACCTCAGGAGGGGGATGACTTGATTTGTAAGTGATGCACTTGATAGACAGGGATTAAGATAATTGAATGAAGGAGACCTTTGACAGACAGGCATACTAAGAGAAAAACTGACTAAGTGACAAGTTTGGACTAATACTACATAGCAGTGACAGCATCCAGACCTCTCTAAATATGAAATACAGCAAAGTCCTGATTGATGCAAAAAAATGAATGCTGTGAAGGAGAAGTAGTTGTTTTATTTGAACTGCATGTTTCTGCTGGACTGGAACCAATGACCATATTTTACATAATTATAACTTTGCATAGCTGACTATATTATAATGTACATAGTATATACACATAGTATATATGTATATATAGCATATGTATAGTATAGTATAAATATATAGTATATAGTAACATATACATATATTATAAATATATAAATTATGGTAATAACAGTTGTAATTTCAAATATATGGGACTACTTCATGGGATTTATTATTAGTATTCATTGGGACCTAGCAGTACAGACTGCCTGTGGATTTCAGAGCTGGCTTCCTACACAGCCTCATCAGTATTTCCTAAGCGGTAGTAAACATCAAATCATAGGATTGGCTCATGGAGGCATAGATTTGGATCTAGAAGACACTATAGAAATCATTCAGCCTAACCTTCTCTTTTTACATATGAGGAAACTGAGGCACAAAGGTGAAGGAACTTGCCTAAGTCACACAGGTAAATGGTCAAGTTGGGACTAGAATCAAGGTTCTCTCTGCATTGCACCAAGCCTAACAAGAAGAGGCCTCATAACATTAAGAGGTAGTGTAATGTGATGGAAAGAGCACTGGACTTAGATTCAGGGATGGCAGCCAGATGGTATTTGGCTAGCTTGATTGAGATTTGACCACAGTATGTGCTTGCCTCTTATTGGCGCATTATGTTGGACTTTAAAAAAAAAGGGGGGGGGGGGTTGATTTTTGGTAGCCTTGCTTAGAGAAGATCCTATTTACTTACTTAAGAAGATTTGAATTCAAGTCTTAGTAGCTATATAACTTTTACTAAAATATTTCTCCAATGTGGGCCCCAGTCCTTCATCTCTAAGAGAGGGGCAATATACTCATGCTACCTAGAGAGGCAGAGTGGTTATATGCACAGGTATGCTGATTTGCAGTCAGGAAGAAGACATGGATTCATCTGCCTCTGACACTTTCTAGCTATTTCTCTAGGTCTCAGTTTCTCATCTGGAAAATGGACGTAAGTGTCCAT